GTGTATAACCTAACAATTGTATTGTATATTAATAAAATTAGAAAAACGATTTCATTCAACGATTATGTTACAAATAATTAATTTTTTTAGTAATAATATAACTAAAATAATAAACTATAATATAACAATAACCAAATTTATAAACGCATAATATTTATAATATTATAAATTATTTTTTCAATATTATTGTTGTACACATTTTGTATAGATAAGGTTATAACGACAAGAGTGCATTGAAAATTTAAAAACTTGCGATTAAAATTTCACTAAATAGTAATTAACAGAGCATATATATGTTAGTAGGTACCATCACATAAATATTCAAAATGTATTTAAATTGTTATAAAACTGAGTCAGTTACAAATTTATCGTGCATGAGATTAATTAGATACATTTACGCAAATGTATTTCAACGTGACTAGTAGATCGAATCTAGCAGTTCTAAGTACCTACTTTGAACATGTTTAAAGCACAGTATATATCAKAGAAAACAGATTATTAAAAATTAAAATAGGAAAAGATAAGTGAAGGTGAATGTAAAGAGTAAGCCAATGGGTATAGGGCATCTAGACTTTATAGTAGACTGGAATGCACCGTGAATGCAATTAATTGTTAAGAGATAAATAAGTATTATAGGTACGTATTATTATAGTATGTATAGGTGGTTAGATACCTATCTAACAAGTGGTGTTTTTATATAAACACTTGAAATGAAATATTTGAATATCATCATCATAAAAAATATTACACTTTACTTTAATGCTTTAGAATAATATCAAAATATTGAAGTGCGTTATTTACATCTGAGTAGATGGAATACACATCATGAATAAATATTAATCAGTGTCATATATGTGTGCGATGTGTGCAAATGCCACGGGCCCTCGGCTTGAGGGGGCCCATTATTGTTCAACGTTCCACAAAATTTTTTTATTTGTATGACGTAATTTCATCTTATTTCTTATGTAATTGAAATTTTAATAAAAAATGGAAAGTACCTTGTGGATTTGCATAATATTTTAGAATTTTAGAATAAAAATTATTACTTTAAATTTGAATTTATATATCTATACCTATATTATTTAATAAAAAAACGAGGGGTCCATTTTTTAGTTTTGCACACAGGCCCATCTTCGGAATAAACCGCCACATGATGATATTAATGTACTATATTGCTAAGTTGAGTATCTATATTATTATATTATTAGTCCAATCAAAATGAATTAATTTTTCATAACAATATACTTAATAGAACTTCAAAAGTAAAAGTAAATTGATTTTTATTAACGATTAGAATAATGTGTGTATATGGTGTTAATTACAAATAGTTTTAACACAATTTACTTCACGATAAACGATCGCACTTTGCCATGTAATTGATTTGTGGACCTCGTTCTATGGTCGTTTCTCACAATCTTGTGTACGGTATGATCTCACGGTTCACGAATAATATTAAACAAAAATTTGTTATACTATTTACAATAGGTACCTAATGGCTAATGCAGTAAACCCAACTAGTCAAGTTATGTATAACTATATTAACTATGCATACAATATAATATATGATCTAACATAATTAGGGAATTTAGTTATTATTAATAACTCATCTAGAAGCCTAGATCAAAGGTGAAAACAACCGTGTCTTCCCACGTCGCCGAAACCCAATTTGCCGACACCCCAGTTCGCCGACTCTCAATTCGCCGACACCCCATTTCGCCGACACCCCATTTCGCCGACTATTTTTTACATGTTCCCAATTTGCCGATTCCCAATTCGCCGAATATAAATATTATATAAAAAAAAGTCAAAATAAATTAAAATAAAAAATTATAAACAAAAATTATTGTATGTATAGGTATATGATATTTTATTATATCTATGTAGTCCAATAATGAAATTTCTTTTGATTCCAATCTAAAATAAAGTACAAAATAACTTACTTATTAACAATCCTTCGTGTAAAAATTAACCATTTTATATTATTTACCTATCCTTTGCATTTGTTTTAAAATAACACGACCGCCGCAATTTTGTATGCATTTATATAATATTCGGTTTTGTCCCGTATTCTATCCACTCGATGAATAAAATTATTGACTACTAATAAATTATGATTTTTTTCTGATTTTATTTTAAACTATTCCATTTTAATTTTTAACTGGCTAACTATTAAATTTTGAACTTTACAGTACACACGGCTGGAACGAACTAAATTCACCAATYTGTACTCCCTCTGGATTTTATATGTGGGAAATCATTTAATCATTGAACTTATCGACAACATACTGTGTTATCGCTGTCATAAAATCCGTTTTTGATAAAAATTATTGTCACCTGTCGGCGAATCGGGAAAATTGAAACTATATATTTATAATTTGTCGGAAAACCAAGATGTCGGCAAACTAGACTGTCGGCGAAATGGGAATGTTTCTAAAATATTTTAAAACTGGTATATTTGTCGGCGAACTGAGTTGTGGGCTAATTGGGATTCGGCAAAGTGGGTATGAAACTATGAACCAAAACAACAAGTTGTTTTTACCTATTCACCAAAGAATGCAAAGCCCAGAGTTTGTGGATTGCGTCCCAAACGTAGGTAAGTGATTTTTTCCGTCCTTTTCTCTGTGCCGATTGCGTCCTATTGTATAGTAAAYTATTTATTATAATTACTAAATAATTGCAAATTATGACTATTCATTTTCCAATATATCAATCCCAGAACTACGAAGTACGGATGTATTCAATAGGTAGTCATTACTAAATTCATATTAAAATAGTGTTGTTGAATGCTCATATATTATACAATAGGACGCAATCGGAACATGAAAAGGTAAGAAAATGTAATTTTACCTATCCAACATGTGGTATAAAAGATTGAAACGAGACGCAATCGAATGACACCCGCAAAGCCGACAGTAAAAAGAAGTATAATATTAGCAAAATAGGCATATCAGTCATATCACGTTATCATACGTCATTGATAGAACCCATATAAATACGGGTAGAGCATCATTTAATAGTTTTAGAGAGATAGTTGCATCAGTCGAAGTCTTTTGAGCTAACGACTGTGCGCTTAATATTGTAACTTTATTAATACTTATAGTAATAAACATTAAATTGTATTAAACATARTAAATCGGAGTGTTGATTTATTCATTGCCTGTCTCTTATTCTCAACAACGTTTCAAGATTTTTACAAGCGTGCTACGTCGTTAAATAATTATTGTGGTACAGATCGTCGTGTCCTGCGCAGCTATCACTACACTACCTACTGAGCGAAACTTTTATTTTCTCGATGTAACCCAAATTTATTTTCTCCAGATCTTATTAAATAGATTAATTTATTCACGAGTCTTGACCTATATTATAATAGCTGGTTACTATAGGGCGCAGCGGAAGAAATGCGAAAGCACTCCCCGCTGCGTCGTCGGTTGAAAACTGAAAAAAAAAGATATAATACGGTGTGTAATAATAATATAGTGCAGTATTAATAACCGAGTACCTATAGTAATGTAGTGTAAGTTGAAAATAGCAAACGATCTAGAAACTAGAAAGCATAAGAACGCGATGCACTTTTGTCGGGACCGTGTATTAATTGTACTATAATATATTAAAATGTACTGCACAATGCAGATTGCAGTTGTAGTGCAGTGTTGCGTATCGTTTCGACGAGTTCGCCGCGTTGACGTCCGAAGGCGGACATGGCGACATCAACGTCAAAGTTTTGACGGGTCACTTCGTTCACGCCGGTCATCTTCGTTTCCATGATGCTAAACTGTTGAAGCAGTTTTATTCGATGCGGTATAATCGCTGRCCCTGTTGACGTGATGGGAAAAACGGGACGACACCGTTCATCGTGTCAGGACGGGTTGGGTGTTTCGCGTTGGTCGACAGTTAGCACGAACTTTATTATATTACATAATAAATTATTAGAACACAAAACTATTCGTGTACTCACTACTTAGGTATAAGTAGGATGTAGTGCGTATTACCATTCGTGTCCTTGTTTAAACATTGCTCACCTGTCGCCTTCTGATACGATTCTTCATAAYACTCGCCTTTTATAGTGGATGGAAAAAATCATATCAACCTTTATACAGTATAATAATAGTATTCACAAAAAGATTATGCTAGATAAAAAAATACATACTATACCTACGATTCATAGGCGCCCGCAGAAATTTTTCTAGGGGGGGGGGGCAATGTTAGGATTTGAGGATAAATATTATAATTTTACTAGGTGTTTTAAAATAATAACCTTTTTTTATTATACTCGTATACAATATATTATATTTTATTATATTACAACTTATTTTATACTTTAAATTTGTTGTATAGTATATAATAATTTATCTTAAAACATTCAATTCAAAAAAATATTTTGAAAAAGCATGGGGGGGTGCAAATGCCCCAGCTTGCCCCCCTGCGGGCGCCTATGCTACGATTGTATAATATCTTATCTCAATTATAATATAAAAGTCAGCACCTTTAGCATTAAAACATTACTAAACTGATAATGATTATTACTGATAACATTTTGTTTTCAATTAAATTTGATGATAGTTTTTCACAATCTATCGTACAGGAATCGGCATTTAAATCAAACACTGTTTAATAATTGGGCTATTAAATATGTACATATTATATATATATTCTCAGTTCACCACCACACGCAATTGGCGTAAAAACAGGAAGTCAGAGTGTCTGAACACCCTAAATTAGACATGGTGTGGCGGTTAACTATCAATAATCGATACTCCATACCTGCTGTATATAATACCTATTATATATTATAGWGGTTGTTATATATTATAACATGGTTTGTTATTCAATGTTATCGCGTCTGGATCTGTGTATGTAAAAATATTAAACGGTTTACTGCTGCTGTGTCAYCCCCGAAAGGTATTAGAAACGACACCATTCTTTTGGTGAATGGTTTGTGTTCTAAATTTATCAGCGGATTTTTCGCTGGCTCGTGACGTTATCCGTTTAAAAACGCGTYTTAAAAAGAATTTGTCTCGCGTGACGGTAGGAGTGAATAGTTTCCATAGAGATTCAAAAAGTGTATGTATTACGTCTATGGAGAACGGTCGCGCTTCGCTCATTGCGAAATAATGCGACAGGCACTTAAATGTTTTCCGTAGAAGTTCCAAGGTCTGCGCCATCGCACTAATAATGAGCAAAATATGGCGCACGGTGTAG